AGAAGAAGAAGAAGAAGAAGAAGAAGAAGAAGAAGAAGAAGAAGAAGCCATCTTTGATGAATCTCAAAATTTAATTAAGAAAGAGAGGAGAAAGAGAGGAAGGAAAAGGAAGGACTTAAGATTTAAAAAAACACCCAAGAAAGAGAAAAATAAGATGCAAAATCAATATAATGCTAGAAAACAAAAGAAAAAAGGAACACAACAGAGAAGGGAAGCTAACAAGGCAGAGGCTAGGAGAAGGGGGGGTAGAAAGGCCTGGTGGGAGAAGAAAGAAAGGGAAAAGGTGGAGAAAAGCCACAAAGCTTTGAAACCAGATGGGAAAAGAGGAATTTTTTTTAGGGACAAAGGGTAATGTATAATTTGTTTAAAAAAAAGATTCTGCAAGGTACATAAGATGGTACTGTAGCATGTGTATTAGAAATAGAAAATTAGAATGGTTTAAGAGTTAATAAGAGATTAAAATATTGAAATGTTTAGTAATGTATTTAATCATTTTGGATTTATTATTTTTCTTTTTTAAAAATTAGTAGATAGAATGTACCAAGCAGAATCAGATTGGGTATTAGGTGTTATTTTAAATGTTAATTTAGGGGGATGATAGAAAGGCATCATACTCTGATTAGTGATTTCAGGAGAAACTCTTTTTTCTTTTTACTATAGGGAATGAGACAAATGGATAATAAAGAATGGACAAAAGATACAAATATAATGACTTAAATTAAAATGAATTAAATAAGACAGAATTAAGAAGAGTGAAATGTGTGGAGAAGCTAATTTAGAAGATATAGAATGGTAAATAAAATAGGTAATGGCATGTAAGATGAGCATGAATATAATTGAAGTCCATGTAGAGAGAGGTTTCTGGGGCCAAGTTACTTTCCTAAAATATCTTTTATATTTTTGTGTTTTGTGTGTTTATGTATGTGGGAGAATTAATAAAACCTTGCAGAAATATAGAATGAGAATAATGGTAACCAAGTCAGAGAGAAATAGATGATAATTATAAATTGGATAAATATAGAGAAAAATAATAATAGTGAAATTGGATAAGAGTAAAGAGTAATAAAGAGAAATTGGATAAGAGATATTTGTATGCTCATATGGAAATGGTCTAAAATAGAATTATATTGTATAAAATAATGTTTTATTTGACTTGTAAAATTTATAATGGAAAGAGTTTCATGTATTAATGGTTAATGATGGTTTGTTTGTCTTTAAAATTAATAAAATTTGTTTTAAAAAAAAGAAGAAGAAGCACATTGCTCTTTGTCTAAATGAGCATTAATTTTAAAATATATTTTTTTCTTCCATGTACATAAATGTACTTACTTTGTCAGGACAATTGAAACTGCATCATTGAGCATGCTTTCTCCAAAGACCAGCATGTTAAGCACAGGGTCCACATTAAGAGCATTAAAGATAGCAATAGTAGCTACTGGATCAACAGCAGAGATCAAGGAACCAAAGGCAAAACTGTTAGGAAATACAATTAATATATAAACATAATGTCTGAATTATTAAATGCGATTGAGGTTTGAGGCTTACTCAAGCCTGAAATGCATCAGTGGATTTAAATCATCATTAGCCTGGAATGCATGAATGTTTCTTCTCATTCTAAAAGAAGATGAATCTGAGCCCATGTAGACTAACAATTATCAACAAAAATATAAAAATAGCATATTTTTTCAAATATTTAAAAGCAACCTGCTCAACGGCAGATATTCATTATATCATAATTAATCTAAATTTTTAATTTCATATTTATTATTAACTGGTTGAACTTAATTTCTTTTCTGGTTTAACAGGACAGCCCCAACACCTTTCGAGAACTTTTATCATCACATGTATTCCTTCGATTTAAAGATAGCATTTTAACAAACAATACACAACATAATATATAATTACAATGGTATCTGTCTAATCATTGCTGTTAGTTCATCAAATCCTTAAGATATAGGTAACCTAAGATATAGGTAACTGTTCTCTTCCAGTAATCTTTCAGCCATTTTCTAGGATTTTTCAAAACTAATAAAGATTTAGCCAAACCATGTGATGCAAGTCATCTGGTGCTGTATATTAAAATCAAGAAGCAATGACCTCTTCTTTACAGTTAAAGGGCTATACCATGTTAATATCCTCTTTTATTCACATTTCCACTTACCTACCTAAACCCTATTTAAGCATTATATCATCACTGAACTCAACATTGGCTACTTACTCTTACAAACACACAAAGATTTCTCTCAAAACTTACCTGTCAGTCATATTCAGTTTGTAAATTACATCAGCCTAGAAAAATTGAGAAAAACAGAAATATCTTATAAAAGTTAACTCTCCTCTTTTCTCCTCTTAAGGAACTAGCATATTTGCTCAAGAATCACAAAGTGAGTTTGCTTGTTTGAGCTTACAGATGGATTCTCTGTTTTCAAAAATGAGGAAACTGCCAGATTTACTTTCCATGAAGATTTCTTCAAACAATAAATCTTCCATTCTCACCAAGGTATTGCCTTGATGTGGATTTTTGTATGTTTCAAGAAAAGCTGCCTTTTGGTCTCCCTCAAGAGCCTGGCATTCAATAAAGCTGTGATGAACATTCCTATGACCTAACTAATATGTTGCAATCAAGAAGGGTTGAATTTCTCCTAAAATACTGAAGACACTCGTGCATTCAGAATGAAATGCAAAAAAAAAAAATCCTAAAGTTATTAATTTATAGTTCAATGAAGCATAGAACTGCTCACTGCAGCAATTTCATTTTTATAAGATCATGGAATTAAAGATTACTAATCAATGTCATTTATGCCCAGACTAACAAACAGTGCTTTCAGCACATCATATCAATCATTCAATCAGAACTGAAGAAGCTTCTTGAATGAGAAGTGATACATCTTCAAGAAAAAACGAAGTCCACTTGCCTTTTGAAAAAGCACCTTTGAGTCAAGGTCTGCATATCGGAATTGAAAGATTATGGAATTAACCAGTTATGGTGGTCCCAGTAGTTATTGACACACTGGGTGCCATTCCCAAAAAACTTAAGACTATAGTTAGAATTTCCATCAGTCAATTACAAAAGGCCACACTGCTTGTATCTGCAAATATATTACATCAATACATTACAATAGCTTAGGTCAAGAGTGTGTCAAACTCAATTTTATTGAGGGCCAGATCAGCAGTTATGACTGTCCCCCACGAGCCCGAGGGATGTAGTCAGGGAAAGGGGTGTGGCCAGAGTGGTCATGACCGACTGGATGTGGTCAGGGTCATGGCCCGCTTGATGTAGCTTGCATGGGTGGTGCCTGTGGGTTTGGGCAGGATTGGGGAGGGAATCCAGGGGTCTCCGATGGGTGAGGTGGTGGGTGGGAGGCTCGTCCCACAGGATGAGGTGAGACAAGGCAGGGGGAGGGGCAGTTTGCCATCCTTTGTGTGTGGGGGGGGAGGAATGGTTTCCAGCTGTAGACACAGCCTGCCAGCCCCCCAGCTGGCATACACTGTTGCTCCAGAACCCGCTGCCAGCACCGGGCTGGCCACCCAAGCAGCAGGCGGATGCCGTGGGAAGGAACGTGATGTGGACCACTGGACACGCTTACTCTGTCCCATTGCCCTTTTGGCTTGTGGTTGGAGAGCAGGTTGTCACTGGTCATCTTTTCCTCAGCCTCCTCTTGCCCTTGGCCTGTGAGTGGAGCATGTTCCCTTCGCGCACCCGACTGCAGCAGTGGCTCCCCCAGCAGTCCCTGAAGGAAGCAAGGGAAGGCACGGCATTTCCCTGTCTAACAGACCCAACATGCGGCGTCCGGCTGGGCTTCACTGAAGTGAGGTGCAGGGCAGGATAGGAAGCGGCGGCCATCCCAAGGCTGGACTTGTGCCCCATGCACTGGTTCAGGCAGTGCCCTGCCAACTCGCCTGCTTGCTATCTCCAAAGCCATGCCTTTCGGGAATGACGGCCCAGCAGGGAATTTGGCTGCAATCCTCAGCTCGGAACAGAGATGTAGCTGGGGGGGGGGGGGGCGTGCAAGACAGAAGGCTGCCTTCAGTTCAGGGAAGGGACTGTAGCCTTGGGGGCTCTGTCTGAAGGTGCTTTGTCAGTCGGGTAGCACCCTGAAAGTGCTCTGGAGCTGCTGCTTGCATGGCAGAGTGGGGCTCGGCTCTCCTTGACGAGCAGCCCCAGTGAAGGAGATGCATCACCGGGGGTCTCTACTCCTGGCAGCTCCTGGGTGGCAACTCCACCACCGTTCAGCAGATCCACCCAGCCTGAAGGAGGCAAAATGGTCAGTTAAAAACCAAGTAGAAATGGTAAAAGCAGGCAAAAGGTGGCCACTGTGAGCAAGGAAAGCCCGATCCGAATCAGCGCTATGGCCGCCCAAGCCCAGCTAGGATCGCATGCCTTTCCCCCATCTCTGCTTGGTCTGGGTAACCAGGACTCCAATGAGAATCTGGCTTTCCCCACTCGTGGTGGCCTTTTTTTTTTTTGACTGCTGGGCCTGGGCCGCAGCTACTGGCGGCCAAGGTGCCGAGGTGGATCGGGTGTATGAGGGAAACACATTGTTCTAGCTGGCCGCTTTGCCTCCTTTGGGCTGGGTGGGTTTGCTGAGCAGCGACAACAGCCTAATGGACCTGTGCAAGCTGCTGGCGGCCTCGGTGGTGCCAAAGTGCATTGGATGCGGGAGGGGAACATGCTCCACCCAGCGGGTCAAGGGCAAGACCTGCAAGGGGGCCAAGGAGATGACCAGTAGCGACCTGCTCTCCAACCACACGCCAAAGGGATGGGACAGAGTAGGCAGCAGCCGCCCCACACTCTCCTAACCTTGTCTTCGCCCGCAGTGGCAGCAGTAGCTGAAGTCAGAGGCACAAGGGAGAGAAAAGCGGCCTGGCCTGTTGGATCCGCATTTAATTAATTTCCCCAAATATGCAGTAAAAAATAAATTTAGCTTTTGTTCTAATCTTGTCCCCTTTCTTGTCCTGGCTCTTTTCACTTTTTAAGAATGTAGCACTTGCCTCTGAAAAGCTTTACCCCTCTGGACTAGATTATTTTGCAGGTCCCTTCCAACTTTACCTTTCCAAAATATTACATGGACTCTCAGCACAGACAGTCCTATCCAGTGGTGGGATTCAAATTTTTTTACTACCGGTTCTGTGGGCATGGCTTGTTTGGTGGGCGTGGCTTGGCGGTCATGTGACTGGATGGGCATGTCCAACTCAGCAAGGTGGTGCGGCACCTTGTTGCGAGTGACATCGAGTTGGCCGCACCCACTCAGTCACATGACTGATGCTGCAGAGACAGGGTGATTTCCTACCTTCCCACCCTCCTCCATCCTTGGGCTGACAAAAAAGAAGCCAAACTAAAGATCACAACTGCCTGCCCAGTCTGCCTGCCAAATGGGTTTTGTTTTGGGGTGGTTTTTGTTTTGTTTTTTGCCAAAAGCCTGTCGGAGATAAATTTGCACCACCAAATCTTACTGTACCTCGTTGTTGCAGTGCTGCCTGTTGCTGCTGTGGGTGCTGCTGCGGGCATCTAGCTGCCCAAGTAAAGAACTGCACCGGCTCAGGGTGACTGTGAGGAGCAAGAGGGGAAGCCAAGGCACTCGCTTCATAGCAGTCAACTTCATTCTCTCGTGCTCCGGTTAGGCGTTCCCGGCGTGTACAAGGAGCGTGAAGGGAGGCAGACACCGCGTTTTAAAAGTCAGAGAACTTTGCCCAAGACTTCTCATGTATTCAGGGGCTACATCTCTCCCAACGATGAGTTGGCGGCGATCTAACGAAACGTCTTCCAGCTCTTAAAGATCGACTTTAAGAGCACCCCAATGGAAGAAGCCGAGAACGAGAGCAAAAGTAGCGGGGGCGAGAGGAGCGTGTGATGGGTCCCTCCACAGTCCCCTCCCGGGTGACAGCCAGGGCTTTGGCACCTCCTCTTTTCTTCAGAGGCACGGTATCTGTCTCCCTTCACACTCCTTGTGGAGAGACACATGCCCGTCACCCCCGCCGCCACTACTCCTGCTCTCAGTTCTCAACTTCTTCCATGGGGGAGCTCTTAAAGTGGACCTTTAAGTGGTCTCAGGACATCCACCCACCTGCCCGGCGCCCACCCTCCCGGAGCACGCTTTCTTCCTTCTCCTGATGGATGCACCTCTTCTAGCCCGGCCAGCCAGCAGGTGGCCACATGTTCAGAGGCTTCTCGCCCCCCTTGTCGCGAGATGCCTGCAGCTTCTGTGTGCTTTTTTCGGTGCGGCTTCTGGACTGCATCCACACAGAAAAAAGCACGCCCCATCCTATGTGCTGGGCCCAGCAAGTCCGAGCAGCTGGTGCATAGAACAAGGCGGCGCCAGACCGTTGGAGAAGTGGAGCGAAGCCTGAGATCAGTAGCTGCCTCTTTCAGTGCAAGAAGCCTCCCCCAACCGGCCAGCTGCTCTCCTCTTTCTCTGCCTGTTTGTTCTGTATGGCCGAGAAGGAGATGACCAGCCGGCCAAAGGGGTGGTTGCTGGAGGTGACACTTTTTCGGTCTCCAGATGCCTCTTTCGGCGCAGAAAGCCTCCCCCAACCAGCCATCTGGTCTCCTCCTCCTCAGCCATACAGAACAACCAGGCAGAGAAGGAGGAGAGTAGTTGGCCGGTTGGGGAAGGCTTCTTGCACTGCGAAAGAGGCGGCTAATGATTGCTGGCTTCACTCTGCTTCTCCAATGGTCCGACACCATCCTGTTCTATGCGCCAGCTGCTCAGACTTGCCAGGCCTGGCACACAGAACAGAGCATGCTTTTTTTGGTGCAGCTGCTGGACTGCAGCCACACCGAAAAAAGCACTCAGCAGCTGCAGGCATCTCATGACAAGGGGGGTGAGAAGTCCCGGGACATCCACCCACTCACCTGCTGGCTGGCCGGGCCGGGCTGGAAGTGGGGCATCCCTGGGAGAAGGAAAAAAGCATGCTCCAGGAGGGCAGGCAGGCGGACGGATGTCCCGGGGCTGCTGCACAAGCGCACTGCATGTGTAGCAGCTGCACACACAGTGCGCATGTGCAGCAGCCCTGGGACATCCGCCCAAGCTGCACCACAGCTGCCATGTAGTAGGGAAAGCTAGGAGAGCAACTGGGTGGGTGACCGGGTTGAGGGCATGGCCAGCCAGGGGTTGCCATCGGTTCAGCGACTCACGCCAAATCACCGCTACCGGTTTGCCCGAACTAGTGCGAACCAGTTGAATACCACCTCTGGTCCTATCTTAAATTTAAGCACCTTCTGATTTACTGCAAGTATTAAAGTATTGGCCTTTGCGCAACTGCGGGTTGTGCAGCAGTTATGCCCTTTCCTGGATCAGCGGTCCCTACTCACAGTCACTCATGCCCTGGTCACTTCCCGTCTTGATTATTGCAACGCGCTCTACATGGGGCTGCCTTTGAAGAGCATCCGGAAGCTCCAGTTGGTGCAAAATGCAGTGGCCCGCATGGTTTTATGCAAACCCCGGTGTGCACATATGTCACCTCTCCTGCAGGAGCCACATTGGTTGCCGATTTGTTTCCGGGTGCAATTCAAGGTGCTGGTTATCACCTTTAAAGCCCTTCATGGCTTGGGTCCGGGTTATCTAAGGAAACATCTCTTGTCAATAACATCCACTTGACTTATTAGAGCAAGGAAGCAGAGAATGTTGCGAGTCCCACCTCTGAGGGAGATACACCTGGTGGGATCCAGAAGAAGGGCCTTCTCTGTGGTGGCTCCATCTCTCTAGAACATCATTCCCCCAGATATTAGAATGGCCCCCACTCTATCTCTCTTCCAAAAGGCACTGAAGACCTGGTTTTGCCAGCAGGCCTGGGGAACCCAGAGAGGGATGGAGCCCATCAGGTAGCTAATGTGATCTGCTATCATCAGGGAGGGAAATGGGAGTTGGTTTTTGATTTTCTGTTTTTGTTTTTTTGTTTTTTCCCCAAATTTTGTTCTATTGTACTTTACTAATTTATTTGATTCTTTTTGTTAGGTTTTTATTGTTTTTATATTTATTTTTTGTTTTAAATATGGTTTTACATTGTGTAAGCCGCCTCGAGTCGCCATGGGCGAATAGGTGGCAATATAAACTAGACAGACAGACAGACAGACAGACAGACAGACAAGACAGACAGACAGACAGACAGACAGACAGACAGACAGACAGACAGATAGATGCTGGTGCTATCACCTTGCTTTGCATTATGTTTAATAAAGATACAGTCTCTGCTGTGGCAATAATTAATTACCTGGGAATTCCCCAGTGGAGATACTCTGCCTTTCCTCTGCTGCTCTGGGATTTAATTAAAATCATCTGAAAGTCAGACTACAGTTCCTGTTTTAGCTAGGGAAACAATTACTATTGTTTCCTTATGTAAAATGCCAGCAACTTGAAAAGTAAAATGATGTCTATGACGAAGAAGATCCAAGGGACAGGATAGTAAATAACTCTGGGAAATCAATTTCAGATTTTGAATAGCCAAAGGATAATATGTCATTGAAAGATTCTGAAATGCAGTAATTCCAGGAAACTGTAAAAAGCAAATATCATTTTGTCTTGTAAAGCACTACTTCATTGATTGATTGATTGATTGAGCCTCCTGATCTAGATTATGAAGTTTTCTTGGCAAGATTTTGGAAGTTGTTTGCCATGGCCTTCTTCCTAGGATGTAGAGAAAAAGGCTGGCCCCAAGGTCAACCAGCTGGCTTCATCCATAAAGCATGAGTAGAACTCCCAATATTTTGTTTCCTCTCCTGGTGCCTTAACTACTACACCGAACTGGCTCTCAAACATTGGTTTAATTTATTATTAGCTTTTGCATATGTTTAAGCCCTTATGAAGCGATTCTCCAATAAAAATACCATTACAAAAGTGTATATTAGAAGAAAGTATGCAAAAAATTGAGATTGTCATAAGGGTAATATTAAAAATGTATTAGGTATAGTTGCTTGCAAAGAATATGTGTGCTAGAAAATCTGTATACAAAATCCGTACAGGAAATTTTCAGTTCCAACACTATGAATAAACTTCCTATCCATACAAAAGTGTTTCACTTTCTTCTCCTGATTCCATGTTGCCTAATCTGCTCTAGTTAGAGAAGGAAGGCAGTAGGCTAAGAGGAATTCCTTTTGCAAATGAGGAGTTCACTCCTCTGTTAGGAGAAATGCATGGAAAAATGCATTCAATTATTATTATTATTAAAATAATGCAACTATGAAAAAATTGGAAAGGGGAAAAGTATTGAGAGAAATCAAAATGGATATATTCATTCACCTTTACCAATTATTCCAGCTATTCTCTATCATTTCTGTCATTGGTTAAACTCCATTCTACATCCTTAATTTCTGGAGAGCGTTCCACACCACAACAAAGTCCATGCATGCAAAGTTCTCCATGCACAGTCTCACCTGACCAAGAAAATAAATTCCTCCGCCAACTATGAAAGCTGAAATAGCTGTCCCAATCACAGAAAACAAGGTGATGGAGCCTATGTTCTGGAAGAAGTTCCCCTAAAATAAGAAAGTACAAGAGAAATATAACAAAAGAGAGTTTTGAAAATGCTATAAACCAAAATTCACCTGCAATAAGTATCAGGATCAGAATCCAAACAAATGTAAACATTAATGATATATACCACATAATTAGGCTAAAAAATAAATTCAATAAATAAATACACGGGTTGGAGAAGCACAGGATTCTTTTCCTCATCTATCTGTAAATATTGGTAAATCATATATATCCAGCATGAACAAACTGGACTTTCAGGTTACTATTTGTGCAGGTTGAGGCTCATCTTTGCTTTCTTCTTTCTTGTTTGTTTAATAAAGTTGCCCTACTCAATGACAAAACTGGGCAGAATAAACCAATAATAAAAACCATATAATTAAGCAGAAAAGAAGGGACTGGTCCTCTGCCTCTCCAGAGAAGAAAACCATCCAGAAAAAAAACAACTGTAAGAGTTTCACCACCCATTCAAACCCAAGACCTGGGGGGGAAAACCATATATTGAATGGCCTTTAAAACTAAGGCACTGGAAAAATGAGGAAACACCTACAGAAGAAGATGTAATTTTAAAAAATAGTTTGTACAGAAATTGACAGATTGACACTAAAAATAAAAGAAAAAGAAGACATATTTTCGAACATGGGACTTGTTTTACAAATGGTTGGATAGTAGAGATCGAAATTAGAAGTGGGAAAAGTATTAGAAGAAGACAGTTCAGCATGCCAATTGGGCCTTTCCATAACTGGCTATCTCTGATAATTTCTTTCCGTTACTGAATGGACCCAGCCATGGCACCCTATGTGTGACCTTCAGCAGCTAGGGAAAATGAGGATGTAATAAAAAGTTGCCTGGTTTGTAATTTCAATATTCCTTTCCACTTCTTCAGGAATGACACATTCAAACTCATTCTGGCTAACCACAGAGAGCAAATATAAAGGGCAGGCCTGGCATTTATTGGTCCCTCAATGATGTGGGCGATGTCAATGAGTTCCATAAATTCCTGAGCTTTTAGAGGGTTTTAAATGTTTGTAATCTTAATAAAATGTAATATTGCTTGTGGTTGGTGGATTTTGCAATATTACTTTGTGCTTGTTCTACTATTATAAATGACCTTGAGTAGGCTGTATACAAACAATTGTAACAAACAACCAAAAAAAACTCACTTTGTGCAATGAATACCCAGATTCAAATATAATTGGCGGAAGTAAAAGAAGAAAAAACATATTAGGACGAAACATTTCTTCTTCCTGCAAAATACCACAAACAAAAAGATTAAGGAATTATGAGAAAGGGAATAATACCATATTGGAACAAAGATAAATCCAGCATCTCTAATACTTTTATTACAGTATGTACCACCAAGTGAGTGTTGATTCCTAGTCATCATACAGATAGATTTTCTCCAGGATGATCTGTTCTTAACCTAGTCATTTAAGTCTTCCATTGCCATTTTAATTCAGCCCATCCATCTTGTTGTTGGTCGTTTTCTTCTTCACTAGTCCCACCTTAGACATGATAGTCAGCTGAGTGAACAACCCACCTCACAGGGTTGCACTTGAGGAGAAAATAGGAGGAGGAAGAACTGAGAAACCTCAAAGAATGTACTACCCTAATATCTGAATTGTCAAAATAGGTAACGTGATAACAAGGATAATATAGTGAAGTAATGTGTTGTTATTAAGTATCACCCATTGGCATGAAGAATCTAAAATTCTATATTTAAAATTAGGGATACTTGAATTTAAATATATAACAGAGCATGTCTTTTGATTGTTCAGAATGCAGTTTTTAATTGAATGTGACTAAGGTGAATTTTGGGTTTTTTTTAACCTGTTGCTGGGCTTTAAAGGACTAAATTTACTTACTTTCCCCCTTAACCTACCACAAGTAAAACAAACCTTAATCCTTCACTTCTTAATTCCCCTAAATTAGACTGAAAATGCTGTCCTTGTTCATTCCATGAGATTGCAAAAGGAGTATAGTTGACTGCAGGTCAACTATAGTGGGCTGCTGCCGGTTCGGATCGGATCGCCTGTACTGGTAATTCCGCCCACCGGTTGGGCCCGCCCACCTGCCCCAGTGTTATCTCTTCCTATATATCTGGCTCGCTCGCCCCACCCACACAGTCCAGCTGCTTTCCGCACCTTGCCCACCCTACTCATCGCAGCTGCCACGGGCAGGAAATCCCTGTCTTTTTGCAGCCGCACATGAAGGGGGTGTGCGTGCATGCGCTCACATTTTCGGTTCTGCATTGGGCGAACTGGTTGTTACAGATGTGCAGCCCACCTCTGAGGTAGCCCATTGGTCGCTTAGGAAATCTCAGTTTTATAAAAGTACAAAAACATTTTAAGATTAACAAAAAGTGCAAAGGAAAAGAGGTTCCCTGTTTCCCTCCAAAATGCTCAATAAAAACTGAGTGGTGAGTGGGAAAGGAGTTTATGGAATACAAAATAGGCAGAAGACATTTTGCAATGTTTATTATGCATCCTGTTTTCATGGCACAATAATGAGCTCAATTGCTGTGTGATTATTATGCCAGTTATCTCTGATGTGACCTATGTGTTGGATTATAACTCCTAGAATTACCAGCTAGCTGTTTGTACACCTTATTGAACTGAGATGACCAATAAAAAATTATTCCTCTTTTAGCAATGAAGAAAAGAATATTAATTGGGAGTTGGGCAATTCAAGCTGAATTATTGAAAATAAGTATGACATCAATTATATGATAAATGTATGGTAAAAATTGCTGATATACCTTCCAGTTGGCCAGCTTTTGAGATTCTATAATTTTTATAACAGCACCCATCAAGATACCTAAAAAGAAAGAGAAGACGAAGAACAATTCATCTGTTCATGTGATCATTGAAAGTTGTAAGCCATTGCATATGAGTCATCTAAAGGTAAGTATCGTCTCAAACAGTGGTCCTGTATTTCTTCCTCCTCATCTTCATTATGCCTTGAAATTTTCTCATAAAGCTCTGACTTCTGGGCTTATCCTGTCTTGAAGTTATTAATAACAGAACCAATCTGCTGAGATACCAGAACAGGAAACTGAAAACAGCTTTACAGCTGCTATTATCTGCTCTGATATCAAAGAACAATTTCACAATTCCTCGAGTTAGACAACTAAAGAACTTAGCATGTATTTATTTATTTGTTGCATATACACAACAGTTGTCATGTAACTTTAGGCAATTGACAGCAAAACAATTCAGTAATATGAAAAGTAAATAGGGAAATAAGTAAATAAAGGAGGGAGGGAGGAAATCACATACAAATACCTATAGTTGCTAGGTCAAAATTCACCTCAACCCATATAAACACATATTGATGACTCATGCCTTAGCGACTGAGGGAACACTCTTATTTTCAGGGCATTTCCTAAGGCCAGCAAGCTCTAGTTATCTGGACTTCTGTCCAGCAACAGAGAAAGCATTTCTCTGTTGCTCATATCTGTTCTCATATTTGTTATCTAATACATGCTCGACAAATAAATAAAAATTTCAGAATTTTAATTTTGAGTTTTTGTTGTTGATTACAAAAACTAAGTGAAGCAGCTACCTTCAGTTATGCCATTTCCAATTAAAAGGAAAACTGTTATGACACAATCATGACCATGTTCATGTAAGTGATTCCCTTTCTTCTTATTAAATCTGTCCTCAAAACAATTACAATTTTTATAGCAAGTCTTGAGAGAACTGGATTTATGTAAAGAGGAAGAAAAGGCACATATATCAATGACACAATAATGATGTTGATGGTAACCACTATTTCTATGTATTCAACAAACTATGGGACAAGCAGGTGATGCATCGTGATCATGTGGAACTGCTTATTTTGCTCTTCCCTGAAACAAAACTGCTAATATTATCTTTTAACTCATTTGCATTCCCACCTTTTGACAATGCTCTATAGAATGTTCTTTGAAGGGCTCTGGAGTAGCACAAGAGTACCACTACAACATTTCAAGGAGGTGGTAAAGTATTCAGACTGTAGATTACAAAATGTAAATGTGAATTACATTTAAACCAGCTTTTATGGTTTGTAATACTGGCCCATTTCTCTCTGTCAGAAGACAGCAATGGCAAATAATTTCTATACTGCTGCCAAGAAAAAAAAGTATCCATGGAGTCCCCATGAGACAAGATTGATTCATAGTCATCTTTAGTTCCAGCAAGCAGTAACACCTAGCTATTCTGTCCATGCTTATAAACTAAGAGTTTAAATGTACTTGGATGGGAAACTGAAATTCCAGACTATAAACTAGCCTGGAAAGTCCCAAAAATATCCAGCCAGACATTAGGAGTTGTGCTCAACTTAAACGAATGAATATATTTACCTAATCACAAATGAGGGAGAGAAAGGATCATAAGTTTATCTCATCATAAATTCTTTAGTTCTGTTCATAAGAACTCTGTCTGCCTCCCTCTAAATGAGAGCACTCCAGAGGTGGTATTCAAACGGTTTGCACCGGTTCTGGCAACCCGGTAGCAACAATTTGGTGTGGGTGACAGAACCGGTAGCAACTTCTGGCTGGCCATGCCCCAAACTGGTACGGTCGCCCAACGGTCTCTCGCCCCTTCCGGCTGCTCGACACTCGAGTCGCTCATCTTTTCCGGCTGCTCGAAGCTCTCCCCGCCCACCCCCGCCCTATATATGTTGCTTTCGCCATGTGGCCCAGCTAATCACCTCCCAGTTGCCTTGTTGATACCCAGTCAGCTCACCAAAGGTAAGCAATGCATGCCGCCCACTGACCCTTCGCCTTGGCTCAGGGGCCGGGGCCCCAGAGACCCGCACTATTCCGAGTCCCTGGAACCACCAGCTGCCTCAGCTGGGTCAGGGAACTCGTGATTCCCCAGCTCCAGCCTTGCCCCAGAGCCACTGCCCACTCACTACCTGCTCTCCCTTAAACGCGATGCATCACCCATTTTACCCTCCTTCAGAGGCCCAGGGCTGGTCCAGGGCTGAGAGCCGCTGGGCTCCCCGCCAGCCCACATCTCGCCCCCCTCGCCATGGCAGAAAGTTCACCCGATAAGTTCTTCCCAGACCAGGTGTGTGTGTGTGTGTTTGTGTGTCATGAGAGAGAATTTGGTGTGTGTGTGTAAGATAGAGACAAGGGAGGGAGGGAGGGGGGGGCAAGAAAAAGGAGAGAAAGAAGTAAAGAGGAAAAGAGAAAGAAAAAGAAAAGTAGGAAGGAAGAGCAAGAAAGAAAGGAAAGGGGGAGAGAGAGAAAGAAAGAGAGAAAGAGAAAGAAAAAATGAAAAAATGAAAGAAAGAAAGAAAGAAAGAAAGAAAGAAAGAAA